GGATGCGCTTTATTTCACTTCTTTTGGACTGATGCATGCAACACCCGCTCCGCTGACTGCCATTAAACAGCTTGGAAAATCAAAGTACATTTTTAATATAACTCCGATTGAATTCATCTGAAAGAAGGAAGTCATATATGCCTAGGATGGCTTGAGGGTGAGTAAATAATGGGCTAATTTTCATTTTTGGGTGAACTATCCCTTTAAGTCAATTCTTAGCAGCGTTCTTGAGAGTAATTCTCAGAGGCTTGATAAATACAGGCCCTGGTTTAACATACTTCATTTTGTACGCTATCTTATTGTGCAAGCGAAACCCAGCAGTGGAGTAAGACAAAGCCAGTCATTCTTGGCGAAAGAAGTCGGCTCAGGAATAATGTGCAACTGACAGTCTCTCGCTTGCACAATAATAGTCTCTCTGCACCGGGTATTGCGGACTGTGAACTGTAGAGATAACAATGGGCGGCTTGAACTTTCTGTGAGAAATTGCTACAATCTTAAAGAGATCAGCTGATGTCGGACTAGTGTGGCACAGGAGCCTGTTCTCTACAGTATGTGGGTCAGAGGTAGAGGCCCCATGATCCTCATGAATGTTTCGGCTCATAGCAAGAACCCTGTACATAGTTGATCGTGAAGGTTTGATGCATGAGGAAAACCAGACATTTTTCAAATCTTCTCCGGTCTAAATGTAATTGTTACTCACCTCTATGTCGTTCCAAATTTATATGACTTTCAATTTCTGAAATAATCATTTAGGTTGGTTTTATGAACTGGATTAAATGATTCTTTGAAAAGATTTGACTTAAAATAATCTGTAAATATTGTACAAATAGGTTGATATTGAAAATTTAATTGTATAAGCTCATTTTCACAATTTTTACTTTGAAAGTACCTTTGCTGTCATCCAACATTCACTTGAAAGTAATCTTTAAAAACATTAAAACTTTAATAATGCTGTTAAATGCAATTTTTGGCAAGTTTCAAAATGACTTTTACATACTGTACATTATAACATTGTGATGCGTAAATTCACTTGTAGCATTTATAATGATTAATTTTTATTTGAAGGGTTTTATTTTTTATTTATTTAGACAAATGGTGTCCAATAGCATAAAAACCATTTATCCATTATCACCAATAACATGAAGAAAATTATTGGCTTGTTGATATCATCCAGAATTTTAATGTATGTGCATCGCTATATCAATTTAATAATCCTCACCAGTGTTATTTTTGAGAAATATTATTACACAAATTTAATCTAACTGTTTTCTATTTTAATATATTTTGAAATGTAATTTATTCTTGTGATGGCAAAGCTGATTTTTTTTTTTAAATCACTCCAGTCTTCAGTTTCACATGATCCTTTAGAAATATGCTTATTTGCTGCTCAAGAAATGCTTCTTATTATTATCAATGTTAATATCAGTTGTGCTGCTTAATATTTTTGTGGAAACAGAGATACATTTTTTTTAAAGATTATTTGATGAATACAAGGTAAATACACATTATATTATTGTCAATAATATAATGTTTCCTTGTTGAATAAAAGTATCAATTTCTTTAAAAAAAAAAATTTTAACTTTTGACTGGTTGTGCATATTGAAGGAATTTCATGATAGCAAAATAATATCAAAAATACTGCAATATTACAAGTCATTTTTGTGAGGGAAAAAGATCCTACAGAATTTGCAATTAAGTCTTTTAAATTCATTTATTTACAATGTTCAAATGTATTATCAGTGCGAATAGTATATAAATACCTTATTTTACATGCTGGTATCTAACATCTACAAGCTTTGACAAGTAATGGAGGTATTTCATGGATACACATTTAATCTATGTCATATTGGTAATGTGTGTTCACTGGAGGACTACCAATCAATAAATGTTTCTAAACTATTACAGATTACATTGTTACTGACCTGACATCACTTTCACATAGTTTGACCTTTAACATAAGTAAAGACAAAAGAACGGCTCCCTGAATGTCTCAGTCTATACTATTTACACAAGAGGTTTGGCAGAGCTATAAAACAGTCGACAGGCACTTTAGGAATCTTTTGATTCTCTGTTGGTAATTTAGATGCAGAGCAAACCTAACAAAACACTCTTTTTCTATGTACAGCACTGGCAGAGACTTTAAGGCATGCTGAACATAAGCTGTAAAATACTGTCAGAGGTAATCACTGTAAAAACACAACTGACCATTGAACCCAATGACAAACAATCTGTTTGTATCTTCACACTAATAATTCATCTGAAACATAACTGGGGGAAAGAAAACTCAGTCGTTTGGGGCAAAAATAAAAAATAAAACATCAAATTAAGCTACAACTTTTCAAAAATGCACAGTATAAAAAAAACAATATAAACATTCAAAACAGTGCTGTAAAAAATACCACAGTAAACATAAATATTCAGTATTGGCATCACAATGAAATCCTAATTTACAATTTTACAAATAACCCTATTACACATCTAAAATACAAAATGTAACTATAAACATTACTTACACATCATAAGTCATCTGTTTACGACTGATGAATTCTGGCATAAACTGTACAAAAGCGAATTAATATCAAAGTCTTTTACTGTAACTCCAGATCAGCTTTATCCATTTTGACGTCAGAAAACTTTTCTGTCCTCATCCAGCTCAACTTGGACAATGTAGCACTTTGGAATGCTGGGATAGCTAGTGCCCAGCTTCCATTTGTATTAAATTAACCTTTATAAATACTAAAAAACAACTTCAGAGCAGGACCATGTTGTGCTTTAAATACTAATCCATTCCAGTTGATTCAGCGTCCTTCAAGGTGAAGGCTCAGATTGATGTTTCATTGCTGCCACTAACAAGAGAACGACAGAGGTGTTACAATCAGAACGTGACCAAATAAATTGTAATGATCAGCATTTGACATCCAACTCACTCAGAATCGAAGTCTTCGTCCGCCAGGGTGACGGGGCTCGTGCCCAGCTCCACGGCGATCCCGTTTAGTGCAGACTGGGGTGGTAATGGAGGTGGTTTGATGATGATGCTGTTGGCCTCGGTTCCTGAGCGAACCCCCTCGTTTGACCCCACCGATGGAGTCTTTCGGGGGATCTGGGGTGGGTTGTAGTCACTGAGCTTCTCCCTCAAGCGGTTTTTCATGTTCTTGTCCATCAGCGGGGGTGAATATGTGATATTATTCTTTAAAATGCCTAATAAAGTGAATATAATATAATATAATATAATAATACAGAATATTTTAATAGAATATTATATAAATGTATACAATTGATCAAAATATATAGTTTAAAATATATAATATATTCTATTTAAAGAAATATTTTAGTTTTTAGCACAATTTAATCTTAAATGTTTAAATATATATATAAATAAATACAAACAAATAATAGTTTAATCAATTATTCTCCATTATTCTATTCTCTATTGAATTATTAAATATTATTTTAATATTGGTGATCTTGTTCTTTCAAATGTCTAATGAAAGTATTAATATAATACAATATAATATACAGAATATTTTAATAGAACACAATATATAGAGTTTCAAATATATATAATTATTTATAACTATATATTTAAATATATATTTATTTAAATACAAATATATAATGTCATAGATTATGACATTATTATAAATGTTATCTATTAAATTATTACATATTATTTTAATGTTATAAATGACTAACATATATAAAATACATGTATTATGCATGCATGAAGAAAATTGATTTTTCAAGTACTAAAATAGTTCAATCTTGTTAAGTGTTCTTTTTTAGGT